ACTCAACAGTTTTGCAACCGTTTTATGATTATCTGCTGAGATAGGACCATTCTTCTAGATCTAAAAGTATGATCCAATTAGCGCGAAGGAAACTTCCAACAGTTGCAAAACAAACGTTCTGCTGAACGCAGCCATTGTCTTATGACTTAAGTCTTGTCTTTAAGTACTGTGGATCTACAATAGGGTTTTTAAGCCTTAAACCATAAGAAATGGACGAATCATAGTCGATTATTCTCCTCGGATTCGATTGTAATTGGTCAATTTCTTACAGCTTAAGACTGAAAACATCTATTGTAGATCCGGACTTAAGAATCGATTCGTCGATTTAATCGGAGTTTAAGAATCGATCTAAACAATCGAGAATCGAAGGTAAAAGAATCGATTTTCTAAAAAATCGATCTTGAATCGAACATTCCTAATCGGCAAGCACTGCTCGGCGAGTAGACCTTCACTAAAGAGGATAATGGCCGCAGCACAGACTCTTGCATAATGCACAATGCATAGTGCATAAGGGAATCGACCAATCGAAATTCTTTTTTTCCATGGAATGGAAAGAAAGGAAAGATTCTGATTAGTTGATTCGCTGTGCTGCGGCCAATAAGCCTCTTTGGCTTTTACTTTCGTCGACTTGAACGCGCTCGACAAAGTCCGAATTCCGAATCCAATTATCCAATTTGCTTTACGTCTACAAATTCTACAATGCACAATCAACAGTGTATAGTTGTGCGTAGTATGCAGTCATGCAGTGTGAAATGAGCTTTAGACAGTGTTTGTTTTTTGCGGTCTTGCCTTTAGGAAACATTGGCTGCGTTCAGCAGACTCAACAGTTTTGCAACCGTTTTATGATTGTCTGCTGAGATAGGACCATTCTTCTAGATCTAAAAGTATGATCCAATTAGCGCGAAGGAAACTTACAACAGTTGCAAAACGAACGTTCTGCTGAACGCACCCAATGGCTGCGTTCAGCAGACTCAACAGTTTTGCAACCGTTTTATGATTGTCTGCTGAGATAGGACCATTCTTCTAGATCTAAAAGTATGATCTAATTAGCGCGAAGGAAACTTCCAACAGTTGCAAAATAAACGTTCTGCTGAACGCAGCCACTGTAGAGATTTATTACCGAATATACACTTAATTTGTCCTGAGACGACTGCTATAGAATAGCGAACAGCTTTTGGACGCTCCTTTGTATTATGATAGAGTGGAGGTAAAACGCTAGCTTTTCTTCGCTGCATAAAATGGCACCTTAAAGAGAAGAAGAAAATCTTGCAGATCTCGAGTAACCTCGAGATTATTCGATTATTCGAAGAAAGAATATATGTTTCAGCACTATTGTATAACCTAAAATGGAGCAGACTATGCCATTTTTTTTAACAGTCGCGCAACGTATATTCAGTAATTGGACAGCATTAAAAGTAAGTACATTTTCAATCTTCAATTTCGCATTAAATTCTCAAAAGTAGGTATCTTTTATGTCTCAAAATATTAACCTTTGCAGGATAAGAGATCACATAGTGGCGCTAAAACAATATCATATTTTGAGACAGAGAATACAATAAATTATAATAAATCTTAGGTCCTACAGTACAGTGGAAGAAATATTAGAGACATGAATAAACATTATGGCCCGTATTCAGAACGTGCTTTTATCTCTGAAATTCTATAATATGTGTGACGTAAAGTATAATATGTTAGCGCGCTAACATCGTAAACGCGTTCTGAATTCGGTCCTAAGAGGAATAAAAAAATTGGAAATAGAGATTAAACAATGCAATGGATATAAATAAGATATATCTTATTATTTGTATCCATTATTATTGTACATTACGTTTAATCTTTATTCCTAATTTTGTAATATAATATTTAATCTTTATTCCTATTCTTAATATTTCCTATATTGTGTGCAGAGCCTTATTCATGAAAAAGCAATAAGATTTTAAAAATAAATCTTCTGTCTCCTCTAAAATTTAATAAGTATTTCTTTTCTTTCATCAAATTCTAAAATGTTCTTTATATTTTTATTACATATGAAGTTTAGTAAAAACAAAGATCCTATGTCTATTTTAAATATAGGAATAGATATTATCAAATTTAAACAATTATTTGTGTAATAAAATTATATATTTATTTTTATAGTTGGCAGTAGAACATGATATGGGTTCAGTAGAATGTGCAAGAGAATTTTGTTCATATATGACGGAAGTATTATATATAAATGGTTATTTTTCCTATTTTTTAAAAACATATAACAGTGTTATACAATAATGTATACTGAATTAGTTTTATTTATGCTTTTCTAGAAGGACTGATCAGTAGTGAGATTGCATCTGTACTAGATGATTATATGGATGATCAATTTAACACAGAAGTACAGGACGATAGCATTATGCAAGTAGCAGAGGAATTGTTAAGATTTCGTCGATATTGCATGGAAGGCAATGAATCTATAGCAAAAACAGAATTTGAAAAATTACCACCATTGCAGTCATGGTTGTACACAGAACAACCATCTCAACCTATTAGTTCTCAGCCAGTGAAACATCAACCTAGCAGTTCAAACGAGAATATGGACATAGATAGGAATGAACAAGAGAATGATGAATGGACAGTAATCACAAACAGGAGAAAAAAATAACTTCTAAGTTCTTTTTATATGAAAGATATTTTTATTTAGCTATTTTTTGTGTGTATATAAAAGAATGAAAAGACCCGAAAGGAGAGGCAGACAGGCACATAACATTATAACATAATATGCGCACATTCGTTCCACAATCATACGAATTTTAGCGCTATTATCAATTATCTACAAAAATATTTTCACCTAAGCAGCCTTTTGAAGCATTGCTAAACGTCATTTAGCAAGTGCATCTTCTGTATCTGAAAAAGAAAAATAAAAAATGAATCTGTTTTCGTTTGTCAAAAAATTGTGTTTCATAACATAAAAATTTCGAAAGTATTACCTTTCCCATTTTGGGATAGATGGACGGTATAATAACCATTGTGATATTGCATAGCTTGGCTTTTTTTCGGACTATCTTGCCTTCTTTCACCTGGTCCTGCCAAACTTAGTATCACCGGTAAAAATAACATTCCATGAAACAAACCAAATGTCACTACGGACGTGATCAACTAAAACAATATGAAATATGTGACATCCGTTTCTTTGATAACATTATTATATTTTCAATGTAATACTCGTACCTTGAAAAAAGTTATGAAAACATAAGCCTGGCTGAAACCTACCAGGACAAAGGCAAGGAATGTACTTAAACCACCATTAAATACTGCTGGTCCAATAATGTTAAACGTCGTTAGTGCTCGTTCTGCAAGTACAATAAGATGAGAAATTATAACAGTATTCTGAGGCTATGCATTATTGAAAGATTATATAATATTTCATACAAAATTACAAATACTTAATTACTATCAGGATGTGTTATATATAATTTGCAATTTCGTTCAAACTATATTATTTAACAGTAATAATTTAACAGTAATAATCCGTTTAAATTTCTAATCGTAATCTGTTATAACCAATTTGAATACAAAAAATTTATTTGTTAGTTAATTGTTTTAGACTATAAATATTGGTTGCGTTCAACAAAGAAAGCTTTGCAATTATTGTAAGATCCTTTGATTATGATTGGTTGTTACCCTTCATTCCTGACTGGATTTAAATGTATAAACCAATTATATTAAAGAATCTTACAATAACTGCAAAGCTACTTTTTCTACTGAATGTAACCATTGATAAATTTTATCGAATAAAAAGTATTCTTTTACACAGTAAATAAAAAAATAAAAAATGCAATTATATAATTTATAATACAATTATATTGTTATTTTTTAGCGACCTTGTCTATTGCCGCTTGAACGTATAAATTCCAATCCAATGTGTGCAGCATAATCAACTGCCAGTCCAGCGCACAATAGGATCATAATGGTTGATGATATTTCGATAGTCAATCCCAGAAAGTACATCGAGCCTAGAAGATCGATGAGCGTGAACAGCACGCAACACATCACCCAAAACGATGCAAGTAGATTTCTAAGTAGGACCAATGTTACTATTCCTACCGCCATTATCTCTAAACTCAAATTCCTGATCAATTCTTCGCCGATGATCTGTAAAACCGATTAATCGATTATATAAATTAATTTATGGGTTAATACATTTGAAAACATTCTAAAGAAAAAGCTCTCACTTTGTTCGATGCCCATGCTATATAATCCAACGAATAAATTGCAATATGATCATATCCCCGAGTAAAATTCACCGATTTCACAGCGTCTCTAATGTATTGCATAGCCCGTGTTTGATCGAACGACGTAGTTATGGGAATGTGTTGCACTAAAATCTGTGATGTCTAAAAGCATTCGTCGTGAGAAAACGTTTTATATTTATAGATTATAAAATGTATTGTTTTCTTTAACGTACTGTGATATTGTAATCGTTAAACGGCAACTTATTGAATTTCATATTTTGGATGTACGCTTGGCCTTTCACCGTAAATAGAAGAAATTCCGTAAGTGTGTTATAATACTCGTCTCTATTCTCGATATAAAGTCCTGACGAATGAGATATATAATGTTATATTAGTAAACTCTATATTTAGGAAATGTATGTGCTATGTGAGAAATATTTACCTTTGCCAGTAGTGTCGAGCCATTCCTGATACGCCATAAACCACGGGTCCAAAGTACGATTATTGACATACGGATTTTGCTTAAGATTATCCACCAACTGAGACAATGCATGGCGATCTTCATAATAGTCTACGCCCGTCAGGTATATATTGACATTCTTGCCATACTTTGGAAAGTATTTCGTCAATTTGTTATTAAATCGTATAGGGTAAGATTCCTGATTTAAATAGACGAGCGGATCAAAGTTCTGGTTCAAGTGAAATATCGCCCACACGTTAATGCATAGCAGGATAGCAGTGACTAACAGGATGATAATCTTCATCGACGTTCTCATCACGCAAGGCCCGACGTATTTCTCGAAAATATACCGCTGAAAGTTTTGCTTGGTGCATTTGTTTGGTCGCCAATTGGGTCGCGGCTGACAACAGCAGCCCTCCTTTTTCGCCGCCAATCGTCTTTCGTCGTATACCAGACAGCTGACAAAGAACGTAATCTCGTAGATGTAGAGGAATAATATACCCATTGCGGCAAATATACAAAAGGACTTGAGAAACGGCATCACCGTTGTCATGCCTATGGCGAAGGCCACCATGTTGGTAAATGATGTCACGGTAATGGACATACCTATAAAGATAAGCAAATTATTAGTTGAGATATTATATGTATAAATTGTCTCAAAAGCTTTTATTTCGACGATTCTATTAGTATAGTGTCTTCACACACGATTGTATATTCTTATTTTTAATCCGTCTATATATTCTCAATGTTTCTGAATATATTCAAAATGCATTTATGAACACGAGAAGCATAGCATAAATTAGTTTTGTTCTCTTTGATGTCAAAGACAGCAAAACAAGATTTTACCTGACACTTGAATAGACTTTGCTATACGGGAGGGGACGTCCAAGGACTTGTCCGTTTCTGACACAGTTTCAAGATTTTGCATGATGATGAACATATCGTCGACGCCGATACCAAGTAGCAAAAATGGCAAGATCGGATGTACTGAACCGTAGAAAAATCCCATATAGTAGCATATCCCATAGGCCGACAAAATAGCCTGGCCAACCACGGAGATACCCATGAGGGATAAATATATTCGTTGCTGCATTGCGTTGCACCGACCAATCATCATAATTACGTAAAACGTGATCAGTGACATGCCGCAGAATAACACAGTCATATTACTGTTGACCACTTCGTGCAACATGTCTTGGTAGCTGCGTAGCGTCACCGCGTAGATTTCCATACCTGGCGGCAGGGTACGATTCGAGTGCAATACCCTCTCGATGAATTCGACCTCCCATTCCGGTGACTGCGGATTGGACTTCTTCAGCAACCAATATAGAATTGTCGCGTTCGCGCTCTTTACTCTCCCGTTTTGATCATATTCAATACCGCCTAGTAACGATGCAACATCAGATAATATGTTCTTAGTATTTCTGCGAATAAACACATAAAGAGAGAATAAAAAGATACATACAAAAAGAAACATAAAGCCATTGTATTGTGATCACGCGTGTATTTCATCGAAATTTAAAAAAAGAATAAAGTGTAAGTATAATAAATATAGAAATATATATTAAATCAATATAGAAATATATCTGTACCAAACTTCTCGAAAAATTAACGTGTTTCACACACTTAAAAATAAAAAATATCTTCATATAAGATGTGCAATTTATAATACGCTGTAATCTGTATTTATATTTTATATTTTATTTGAGAGTTTGAGCAAATTCAAATTCATTGATTTTGCTGTGTAAAATTCCAACAACTCACGTATTTCGCAGAGTCGCGGTAACGTCATCCAATATTCTGGTCTTTGTCAATTTATCGATATTTCTACCGTCCTTATGCCATATCTTTAGGAACGATTTATGAATACAAGGTTCCTTCGCCATCGTACTGTTTATAATAGGTAGATATTCTTCGGGAAACTCAGTTTTATTCATGGTTTCCCATTTATCATCTTCTTGGAACCATGTAAAATATCTGTAAAATATAAAATATTTTATATATTATATAAATTCATTCAAAATAATTATATACTTTTATATAAAAAAAAGTTACTTACCCAGCGCACACATCTTCCCAAGTATTATTATTTATTATTATATTCTTCACATCTCTCTCGATATCTCTGATCTATAATTATACAATCAAATATTATAATACAATTAAAAAATGATTTACTGTAACGCGTTTCTTATTTAAATGAATATTACGAAATTAATAATTACAATTAATTAAAAAGATTTTTTACTCCAATATATACATATGTATATATATATATTTATATATACAATATGTGTATACAGTTTAATTTAAAAGAAAAAATCCACGCGAATGTATCAATTTGATAATCAATGATCACTGATTAATTTTTACTTTAAAAAGTATCTTAAAATGTAATAAGGAAATTTTATTGCGAAAGTTTTTTAAATGAATGTGACGACAATTAGTTTAGCTATCGCGGAGAGAAGTGTGCATTAATGTAGAAAAGAACCTTCGCTGATACTCGTATAATTCATGATCGCCTATGTACCGATCGCAGCACTTCGGGATCCAACACGTTAGGGGCAGTGACGATGACACTTTCGTGTCTGAGATCGTCTCGGAAATGCTCCTTCACCCATGCAGCATCCTTGCGAAATACAGAATCGATTGGCATATAGAGTTCTACTTCATCAATCTCTTCCCTCCAGAGTAACAGTCCGAGACCAAAGACGAGATTTAGGCACAGAGAAATTATTAGCCAAAGCCACGGTTTTGTAGCTATATTATATCCGATCCTGAAAGACACGAAAATAAAGAAAATGGAAGATAATTAAACTTAATTAAAAGAAATAAAAAATGAACGCATAACATTGAACAATCGTAAAAATTTAAAACAATGTGTGTGTGTGTGTGTGTGTGTGTGTGTGTAACACATAGAAAAAATTAATAATTGAAGAACTTAACTGCAACAGTGAGTTAACTCGCAGAGTTTACTCTTTGTAAAAGAGTTTACTCTTTGTAAAAAAACGGAAAAAAACTCTAAAGTTAAAGTAATGTGAAAAATATATTTATTTTTCGTTTTTACAAAATATGACTTAGCTTACTATTGCAGTATAAGCCTTTCGATTAATTAAATGAAAATCAATTCGATAAAGCGTCAATTTCATATTTGAAAATGCTGTTA